TCGGGTTGGGGTACAAGGCCTAGGATTGATGAGCTGAGTTCCAATAAGAAAGAAACTGCAGAACCCCAAAAAATACAACCTTGAACCCGAAGCCCTGCACCCTAAAGCCCAAGACCGACATTAAGCCCTAGGTTTGCAGTCTAATCTAGCTAAGTAAAAAAAAAAAGATGACTCTGAAGACCCGAACCCTTGAAGCCTAGGACCCTAAGGCCTAAATTAAAGTGGAGTGCTCCGATATTCCGCATCCCGGGGGCCTAATGGGTGTTAGGCATAATCCTACATACAAAACCTGGACAACGACCCAGCCCCTAAACCCTGCTTTCGAAATTCCACTTCTTGAATCCCGAATGCTAACAACTGATCATTTATATGTAATATAAATTATAATCCACACCCCAAAGACAGGATAACCGTGCACGAAGGATGCCAACTGTCTGCGGCAGGCTGTGGAGAGGAAAGAAAGCCACATTCGGTGCGGCGGCTTCATAGCTACGAACAGGGTTTAGGGTTAATTATCATTACTGTATATAGGGTTTAGGCTTTAGGGTTATATAGATCTATATATATATATATATATAATTGTTTTTATTTAAATAGCATATATTACTCTCCTGTCAACCTAGACACCGAAGCTCCCCGCCTAAAGAAGCCCATATCATCGAAACACACTCCTAATCTCGCATTTCTGATCAGGTTGTTTATTTTTGGGGGTTACGAGATTTAGGCCGGAGGCTGTTCTGCAAATGTTCTATACGATATTCGGGTGGGGTTATATACTAAGCTTGTGTTGCAAGGTTTGGCTTAAGAGGTGAGGCTGATGCTGTCGAGCCAGTCCATTCCCTGACATTTATCCGATTGACTCTGAATCTTGGGTAGACGACTCATTTAATCTAATTCTGAACTATTATGATATTCTGTTCTAATAATTATTATTGATATGGTCTAGTTTCTAATATTATTATAATATTATTATAAATGCCAAGATTCAGAGTCGATCCACTTCTAGATCTTGTTGTACATGTTCGGGGCCTGGGTCAGGGTCTAGGTTCCGAAGACCCCACTCGAGAATACTTCAATCCCGGTACAATTAAGTAGCTATCCAAGCCTGCCGGATGGGCTGGGAGGATCATCTCGCCCCGCACGGGCAAACCTCAGCATAAGCAGACTCGCCTTTGCGACTTAGGATCGGCAATTGAATGTCGTAGGAGGAGTAGCATCGGCTTAATGTTAACGTTATAATCATCGTGACATGATAATAAATAACATACTAGCTAGAAAATAAACTCGCCCACAGCAACGAAATCGCAGCCCTCACCGTCGCTAGAACGAAGCATTCATATGTAGAAGCAGTATACGTATGTACAGAACATGCATGTGTAGCTCCAGCGAATTATGGTCCCAGACCACCAAAAGAAACCCGAGCCCCATGTCTTTATGGCAAAACATACAACGACTAGTTGGTCTAAAGTCGTCTATATATACATACGAAGGTGTGGTCAAGAAGCACTGCAGCTGACCACTGTCTGCAGCGGTCCAGATCATCTGTCCTTGAAGCGGGGTTCACCATATCGTATATGATCTCATGCACCACTGTACTTCGAAAGTTGTTTCCTAGACCTACACTCCATCAGTAGTAGAGCCGAGTCTCGCAGTCGTAGGGACACAGAAATTTCATTGCCAATGATGCAGCAGCCGGCATCGGGCCACCATCGTGTCGCACCCGGAATGTTAAGTGTCTTCACAAGTACTATACAGCAGGATAAGCACACCCTGGCACAACATGTAGATAACACGGTTCATGACCATGACAAAGTACCTTTAACAAATTAACCGGCCTAGGGCTCGAGGATCTGGTATCCTCTGGCTACAGCCGAAACTCCATGATCTCTAAATCCAAGAATCTTATAACCCCAGCCCCCGATATAGAAGCCTTGAAGCCTCAACTCCTCGCATCCCAGGTGTAGCTGCGACGTGCCGAGCTGGCGAAGCAGCTTCGTCCACACGATAGCAGGTCTTGGGGTTTAGTGCTGAAGGTTTCAGGGTCGTGGGGTTTGGGTTTAATGTTAAAGTTACTTTGAAGCCACGGGGTCTTTCTCGAATAGCGAGCACTGGAGTTAATGTTGCATGCGAATCAGCACCAGCTCCACCTTTAAAGCAGCGAAGCTGACATGATTGCAGATAAAGGCTGCTGTGGATCAAGCCACATGCAGCCGTGCTTGCAAGAATTGCAAATGTGGAGGCTTTCACTCCCGGATAGATCAGCATGCCAGGCTACCCTGTACATGTGTGCATGCTACAAACGGGTATACATCTTCATGAAAAGTACATGTACATGTAGCATATCATCTAGTACGATAACGACTACATCTAGGACTGCTGCACTGTAGCCACAGAGCTGCACACGTGTACATAGTACAAGTTCGAAGCTGCCCCCACCCTGAAATAGTGCCTATATTGTAGGTATAATTATAGGGCCCCATATATTATCCTATATATTTATATGTAGTACAAGCATCGAAGCACATGCATGCCTGATCTTAATCCACGAAGACCCCGGCGCCTCCGGCAGACACCCTGCCGAGTCAAAACCACAAGCCGATTGTGCACTGCACAAGGATGCAGCATCATCATGATCAGTTCTCGCCATCGGGCCCACCATTCGGACGATCGCCATTCTGGGCCTTGGAACATGTTATTTATTTGACTACATATTCCAAAATGTACCGGGCCAGGGCTCGAGGGTTTGGGTTTGGGGCTTATTCGGGTTCTGGGTTTTGGATTGTGCCAGTAACTAGAGGGTAAACGAGAAAGAGCTCCTCTCTCGGATGGAGCGGGGGTGACTTGTTGTCCAGGGTTTACAGACAGCCGGTACAAGGGCCTTCGGTTAGGTTTGGGAATCATACTTGGAGGATCACGGGACTTCGTAAGTAACCCATCTGCTGATATTATAATGTATATTGTATATATATTTATGGAAAATAGTATAGCTATTATAATATTATGTGTATATATATATATATATATATATCATCGTACGAAGTCCCCTGATCCTCCAAGTGTGTTCGGAGTGTAGGGCCTAGGGGCCTATAGTGCACTATCCGGATAGACTAGAGCCTGAAGTGACGACCGATCTCACATTGTACAGCATAATTGTTATACTAATTTATACACCAATCCTCTTACCCCTTAATTCATTAAAGTAAAACCCTGAACCCTGGACCCAGCCGCCAGAACCCCCTAACCCGGAAAGCCAGAACACTAGCCCAACTCCAGAGGGCATTGTGACCCCTTAATTCATTAAAGTAAAACCCTGAACCCTGGACCCAGCCGCCAGAACCCCCTAACCCGGAAAGCCAGAACACTAGCCCAACTCCAGAGGGCATTGTGACCCCTTAATTCATTAAAGTAAAACCCTGAACCCTGGACCCAGCCGCCAGAACCCCCTAACCCGGAAAGCCAGAACACTAGCCCAACTCCAGAGGGCATTGTGTTGTGCAACTTCACTAGGCCTTGTACTGAATCGCAAGCTACATAAGGCCTCGGGGTACGAAATATTCGTAAGGAATGAAAATCGCAGCCAAGGTATGCATGTCAGACTGGCATCTTACTCGAGAGCTTCGAAACTGGCTTCGACTATATACAGTTCTCGTACGAGGCTCTGGGTCGTTGAAAGTCGAGGTCCATCCGGCCAAGTACTTGGCCAACTTCCACCTGGGATGCCAGTAAATCTCTGTGTGGATTGGTGTGCTTTAACTCGTTTGATGGGCATGCACCAGACACAGGCTAGGGGCGCACGAAGCAGTCCACCGTGACGGTTCCATGCAACACTGCTGCCGGTCTTGTTATCCACCTTGACCTGATAAGTTTACATGCATGACGAACAGTATACATACGTATGCATTCTTGCATTGCAATGTCTGTCATGGCTATTCAGGCCATGTAGCTCCCAGGGTCAACGAGATGTCTTTTCCCACAGTGTTCCGTTGCACATAAAATGATGTTGTGTACAGAATCGTCTGGATGGGGCAGCATACCGGCTCGGCCGCCATCGGCGGGCACACCTTGTAGCACCTAAGCTGAGATCGACGGAGTAATCATATAGTTGCTATGATGAGACAATAAATACACTCTACCAAAAACCTCCCACAAGTATATCATCCTAGATGCTTGCCACTGAATCCCATAACCGGCTGCAAATCCTCAAACTCTGGGTTGTTGGCGAAATCGCGAATGGTTTGCAGGTTCTGCTGGACCCTGGCATCCACGTTCGGATCGTTCATCCGTCTCCTTCTGGCGGGTGGAGCCTGGGCTGCACGACTCGGGCCATATGCTGTCGTTGGGATGCGGGTTTATGGAACTGGAAGTTTAGAGGAGGTTCAAGGGCCGAGGGTCTGGGTATAGTATATTATTATTTATAAGAATAATGGGGCTTCGCGGGAATTAGGATGAAGGATGGTTTCAAATTTCAAGGGCTTCGGGTGAGATACATGTTTATTGCTGAATCGTTGGCCTCCGGAGCTGCACCGGCATGTTCAGCAGCAGCTGCAGCCACCTCAATGGAGACGTTGTTATGCCAATGCAGTCTTGAAAGTATCAAATCCTCAACATGTGGCTATATATGTATACACATAGTAGCGGCCTCAGCAGGAGCGGCCGGCACAATGACACCATCGGGTCTCACACCCCCAACGTCCGAAGCCTCAACCAACTGCACTGCGAATTGCAAAGGTCGATCTTGCTGCCCCACTGATCGCAACGGCCTCTCCCGGAGCTGCACCATCGTCGGCTTTGCGATCGTCCGAGGCCTCGACACGAAAGTCGTACATCTAGAATGTATATACACCGTGCCTTTAGCTGCTCACAAAGGCCTCTGCAGGAGCAGGCGAATCATCATCGGGCACCGATCTTTTCCTCGAAGCCTTGGTCTAAGGGTTAAGGGTTTAGGGTTTGGAGGGCATTAGCAGCATGATCTTCAGGGTCCAAAACAAGATTCAAACATGCTACTTCAGGCTAGGGACCTTTGCAGCTGCTTTGCCTTTCGCCTTCGCCTTTCCCTTTGCTTTCGGTTTCGGGGCTGATTTAGCCTTTCCCTTTGCCTTGGCCTTCGCAGCTGCTTTGCCTTTGGGTTTCGGTTGGGCCTTCGCGGCCTTGGCATCCTTCTTCAAGTCTCGCTGCTTCAGTAGCAGCTCGTTCAGATCCTCGTACATTTGCTTCTCCAATGCTTCCTCGGAGTATGGGTTCAGAACCTCGATGCTAGGTCGCGGTCTGTCGCCGATCAGAGGATCCCGGCGCTCCTGCACACTTTAGTCAGTCTCCCGAGCAGCATAAGGTGCAACCCACAATTCACAACGACTGAAGCAGTTCTGACTGTAAGGTCTAGGGTCTATATAGAATTTCGAACTAATTATTAACTGATGAATATATTTACCCGGCCTTGGCTGCCAAAGGCTCCCCAACCACGGATTCGGTCTCCAAGTCGCCGGCGATGTCCTCGTCCACGCCCTGTGGCCATATTATATAAGGAATTCTTATTCTTCGTTTGATTTCGTGGAGTTGGGATGTAGGTGGCAGGCCTCGTCGAGGGGCTCCACAATATCATTCGGGGGCAGGCTGGGCTCCGATTCTGCCGTAGAGGAGGCTGCAACGACCTTATGGCCAACCGTATCACCTCTAACAAGATGTAATCGTCCCATAATCTACATTCAAGGAACTCTGTCCAGAACCGAGGGGTCGCTTGGAACTGAAGTTCCACTGTAACCATCGTCCTCACCGCTCACATCTTCGTCCTGGAGCAAGCAAGCTTTCGTGACATAGGAGAACCGTTTGCAAAAGATCTCATGCCATCTGCTCAACTTTAGAATCGAGACTGGATGCCATTCCCAAGCTTAATGCAGTCTACCCTGCCTCGATGTAAAGATTCCATCCGAGGCTGATGTACACCAGCTTCTTCAGCACCAGGATTTTCTTCGACCTCGAGTGGCGATTGCGAGCGAGGGGACCAAAACAGTGATGCACACATCTGGCCGCTTAAGTTTTAATTGCAATCGATGTTCCATATAGCTTCGACGGCTTCAGGCTGCTACAGGTTGTGGCTATTCATGCTTCATGGATCATGATCGAATTCGAAGCTAGTGAATATGGGGCTAATCGGACGATTTTCAACACCATGTATGTACACGTGTGACCCTATTACATGCACATATATATGTACACATGCCCGTGCATGGTAGACGTAGTCAAGCAACTTCGAGTCCGGTGTCCGGCGAGCCAATCGCAACAAATGCGACATCAGCTGCTTCACACGGCCGGCCTCACGTTTCGCCCAATCCTGGAAAGACACGGCATGCATAAATTGAATCGGGCAATGCAAATACGATCACTAATCTCATGACTTGAACAACTGCTCCTTCAGCAGCCTTTTGCCTCCCCGTAGCTTGCAGGAGCGAGGCCAGAAAGTATACAGATAAGTGCAAGCAATGTGGATGTAAGCAACCTGAGTTGAAACTCGAAGGCAGCCGCATACAAAGTTGTTCGACTCTGCACCCTATATTGTTATACTCATGGCTGCAGTCCCGTTGCCTGGTGTTCCCCAAGATTCGGAACTGACTGTGAAAACGGCAGGACTGCGGGCACGTAGAATTTCAAGTATTCATAGTTGGCCTCCAAGTCCTTCTCGCACACCTTAGGTCGACTATACACTCGCTCATTACAGGCTATGGCCATGCTGTTCATTTCTGCAAGAAAGCAACCTGATCGCCGGTTCCGAAATCTAAGAACGTGAAGTCCAAAGGGTCCAACACCATCTCATCACCTTCTTGCTCCTCCAGGATCAGATCTTATATCATGTCCCTAGATGGCACAGCATGACCATGATCGTCGGGTCCTGCTTGGCACGATGCTCAAGCAGCTTACCCGTAAGGTAGGGCTTCAGGCCCTCGGCCACAAACTCCGCACTTTCCTGAGACGGTCAGGTTAAAACATCATCATGAAGTGAAGCCGTGCAGATCAATTATCTGCGATCCAAAGTTCCGTCAGAAAGTACTTCATCGGACGGTCCACGGACCGTCCGAGGGCACTCTGCGAAAGCTCAGGCTCGGGAGCAGGTTCCATGCTGAACAGCTGGTGAGCTCAGACCCAACTTCGATCACTGATCAATCGGCTGCAGTACCACAGCAAAGAACTTGTTGCTTGCACAGTGCTACTCAATTGCAAGTGCAATGCAATCAAACCCGAGCACCAATAGCAGAGCGAGGGCTGGGCACACCTGAATCCTCATCACACTTTCGCTTGCGAGTCCGCAAACTTGTGCGAAGCAGCATGGCGCCAAAAAACTACCAAAAAAACTGTATCGGAACTCACATGTGCATGTCACCTGCCATTCAGTCGACTACAAGACACATCTGAGCTAGGAGAATATATGCACAACTTACAACACAAGTATCATCCGGCAACTGAGCCATCAACCAAGTCGTAGCGAGCACATACCCCACACACACAAAAGCTAACATGCATGGCTTCATGCCTGTAATTCCATGTCTGAGACTAATGCCATGTCTGGGACACGTTTGCCCTGATTCCATAATGGCGATGTAACTGGACCCTCAGGGTTAGATATCGTCATGCTAGAGAACACCCCAACACCCTCGTTGTCTGTTAAGGTCCCTATCGTACCTACAGTAGGGTTTTGTGTAAGGCAGGCCGTGCGAAAGACAGCGCCCCTAGACCCGAGACTCCGGAAGCCCAAACAGAAGCCCCATATTAGTAGAAGGCCCTATGGAAGCTTCACAAGCCCATGTTAAATCCTAAACCCTACATAAATTCTAAGTTGCAAAGCCTAAACCCCAAATTCCAAGCCCTAAATCCGGTAAGTAAGAGCATGCCCTGGAAGGAAAACCCGCTTCGCGTCGACATCCTTCAGCAGGCTCGCTCGTTGTCTGGCCTTGATCCCAAAACCCTGAACTTACTTTTGGTCAGTAGGGAAAGGAGGAATGGGGTACAAGTATAACTATAACTCTGTTACTACCATTCTTCCATTCCCTACTAACCAAACGTAAGTAACCCCAAAACCCTTAAGCCTCAAAACCCCTTGCTAACCATTACTTACCCGGTCAAGAGCACTAACTGGGCTTATTGCTTTTATCATAAGTGCTGCGTCTTAAATCTTCTAAACCCTATGAACCGGCTGAGGGCTCTTAGAGACCCAGCGGTTTGCAAACTTCTAAACCCTAAACCTCAAACGCTGAACCTCTAAACCTTGGGCACCATCCTTCCCGATACTAATCCCTTAATCGGCGAACCGTTTGATGAACGATCTAGTTCGTCCTTTTAGGGTTAGGAGACTCCCCGAACCCCTCGACTTAGAATCTAAACTCAACACCCTCAGAGCCCAAAGCCACATCCCGCAAATCGAAACAACCGTCGCAGCACCCGTGCTAGCAGGTGGGCACTGGGCATTTGGTGACGAAACCTGGGGCGCCTCGACTGCCAAAACCCTGCCGGGACCACCCATGTGGGTGGTTGTCAAAATTAGGGTCTCTTTTTGGATCCCTATTATAATACGGCACCTATTATTTAGGGTACCCAAAAAAGGGACCTAATTTTGACAACTACCCGTGTGCCCTTAACTAGAGCCGCTAATGGTCTCCAGCAGTAGGCGTTTAGTTTACAATAGAGGGCAGTTTGGGTGGTTTACGTAGATGTTGCTTCTGCATTGATCAGTCTTCTCACTGGCTATGGGGCACTTGAAACCTCCTTGTTTGGGCTTTACTTGAAGGCTCCTGTGATTTAGTACAATAGGTCTACCAAGTATCCTCATATATAAATCCCATGGAAATCCTCCCAACGTATCTTGCTAATACTTCTTTGCGAAATCACAAGTTGTCTGAGTAAGACTGTAATGCTTAAACCATTGTAGACTCGAGTCTTGTTAGGGAGTTTAATTCAAGATACCATAATTGGGATCTATGGTAAGTAAAATGGTGTCCTGACTAGGCAACCGAAATTCAACTCCTTGACAAGAATCCTACTGAAGCCTTTATCAGCCCCCATGAAAACAAACAAGCCTCCTACCTTATGTTGCGCCGTTGCCATGCCCCTGCCGTCCTTGGTAAGCAAAGGCTGAACTGAAAAGGCAGGAGCGATACCCGAGACCCCCGATGAATACATCTGCGTGCATTAGCAAGGATGTAATCGGAGTCCACAAGTCAGGCCCGTAAACAAAGGGGACTATCAATCAGGGGTCTGCATTGTACAAGAGGATCCCTGATAGGATGTCGTGGGGAGGTCTGGCCGTACGCGAACCTGAAATTGAAGTAATTTGGATACGAAAGGGGCCCTTATAATTGGAATGGGTTTGGGGGTCCAGTATACTATATTTCTAATCAGGAACCGCCACAGCAGTATTGGTATTTATTGAGACCCCTATATTAGTTACAGCCGACGCTGGAGGAGAACGAGGACAGAGTGGGGAAGCAGAGGAGGTGCTTCCTCCAGCCGAACCCAGTTCCAACTCGGAGTAGCATGGCTACACCCCTAATCCCTAAAGCGCCAAACCCTGAAACCCTAAACCCTAAAGCACTGAAGCCTAAAACTTTAAGACCCTAAGCCCTGAAAAGTGCGGCTGGAGATGGGGTAGGAGTGCATGCAGCTGGAAAAGCAAGTCTCCAGCCAGTGGCGGAGGCGGCAGTGCTGGAGGTGCAGAGGGCGGGGACAGACACTAAAAGCAGTGTTTTTCAGGTGCACCCGTGGGAGGAGGTCTGGCAAAGCCGACACCAAGAAACAGCCGGAAGAGAAGGGTGCTGAGCGAGCCCGAAGTTGCTGAGACCAAGGCCAAGGTGGCCAAGGAGGCCACAACTGAGGTGGCCGACTCAGAACCGTATTCCCTAATCCTACAGCCGTTATGAGAAGTTCTTAAAACACCGCTCTTATAACACCGCCAGGCTTTGTACTGCTGCTGTGTCTATTACGATTATGTTCCACCCCTAAACCCCTTAAATCGCCGAACACTTAGACCCCTAGACCATACAAGACCTAACCTCTAACCTCTAAACTGCCCGACCCCTTCCTCGATCTGAGGAGTGTCAACGGTACAAAGTGACCTTTGGCCGGAGCCTCAGGGATTTCTAGCAGATGTCACACGATTACTAGGATGCCCAGTAGTACCCTTATTCCCTTTTTGTAGTCCTAGGTTCCTTATAAAGTTACCCAATACCAAAAAGAGAGGCCTTTTTATTCTTAGGTTACTGGGTATCCTAGATTACGTGTTAATATCCTGGTTGCTATAAGAATGGTTTTCATTACTACAACTATGCTTACAAGAATTATTGGCATTCTTGATATTACTATGTTTGTACCCAGTGGTGGTGTATATGTGTGTATATATATATATATATATGTACATTAATATCACTGTTTCTGCTACTCTTACTGCTGCTGCTACTACTACTACTACTACTACTACTACGACTACTACTATTACTACTACTACTACTACTACTACTACTACTACTACTACTACTACTACTACTACTACTAAGGGTTTAGCATCTAGAGTACTGGTTTTAAGGTTCAGGCAGTTCATACTAGAAAGATATTCCGGAACACCGGGCACTTCCGCGACCAAGCAGTCAGGGCCCTGTAGGGGACCTACGCCACATCGCCTCGCCCAGCGGTTAAGGGTTTAGGGTTAAGGGTCATAGCATGGAACATAGCACAATATAACTTAGTATACAAAGAAAGGATTTTAATATGATATGAGGCAGGATACCATAAAACCATATGCCGTTTACAGTACCAGAATAATATCATACTGCTAATACTAATAATGAACCCGATATTCATACTAAGACGAGAAACGGACTAACACTAATACTGATGCTAATGCTAGTACTAGTACTACTAGTAGTAATATTGGTAATAGCATTAACAGCTATAGTATTAGTAACTGTAACGGTGACAGTGAGATTGACAGTAACGGTAACACCTCAAACCCCAAACCCAACGCCTCCCGATATGTAGTCTACCCTTGGCTGCTGGCAGGTTTGTACTGCCCAGCACTAGCCCTGGAGAACTCAAGTCTCCCACTGACACCGTCGGTTTGCAGGTGAGTCTGAGGCGGAAGTGGAGTTGGAAGTCAAGAAGGCTGGACGGATTTCAACTTAGGGTTACTTAGAAATAATTTTTAATTTTTGGTTATTAAAACCCCTAAGAAACAGCTGAAATTATAATTTTTGCTAGGGTTCTAGGATTTCAAGGTTGCCATCGGGCCATACTACAAGAAACAGAGGATTCGTAGCCGTGTTGACAAGATTTGCTTACGGTTTTATGGGGATTCACGCGTCGGTTAAAGGCTCGGCTAGGCTTGGGTCATGATGATCGAATTGGGTTTAGAATTTGCAGTTTGCAGCTTTCGGATGCAAATCCTAAGCCAAACCCTAAATTTCAATGCGTCTAAGCACAAGCCCGACAAAGCCAGAAATCCCTCAGACTGATGGCGACGCTGCGGGCAAATCCTCGGAGGAGTCAAAGAAAAACCAGGACGCCCGCGGTTTGGGGTTTAGGAGTTGGTGTTTACAGCTTGGGGTCCAGGTTAGCTTCGAACTTGGTCTCGATGCCTTTCCCTTTCACTCTCTCTTTCTCTCTTTCTATCTGTCTCTCTGTCTCTCTCTGTCTCTATCTCTCTCTTGCTCTCTCTCTCTCTCTATCTCTCTCTCTCTCACATGTGTTCATCCTCCATTGCTTCTGTTGCTACATCTTGTCTAGCACCCAGTAATATCTGCCGTGGCACCTCAGTGGGGACAAGGCAAAAAACCGCTTGAAGCAGCAGACGTAGATCCCTTTAATAGCCCATAAAGTTCTTTAGGCTTCAGTAATACAACTATACTGTCATACAGCGCCAGAGCCTACTTTGACAAAGAAGGCCATACACAATATCCCCCCATAAAGTTCTTTAGGATTCAGTATAAAATAACTACTATTTGCTTAAGAACCCCCCAAAAAATAAAAACACATAATCCCTATATTATCCCTAGAAGGAATATATTTTTTATTTTTGTGGTGTTCTTAAGCAAATAGTAGATAACTATACTATCATACACCCCCCCAGGGCCCTACTTCAACAAAGAAGGCCATAATATAGGGGCCTCGACAATTACCTGTATCATTTTGGTGGTTCCTGATTATAGTCATAGTATAATGGCCCCCAAAACCCTATTCTAATCATGAAGACCCCCTATACTAAACCCTTAATACTACCCCTCAAGTAGCCCTTATAGATCCCTTTTTAAAAGAGCCCTGTAAAAGGAACCCTATTCTAGTTATAAAGGCCCCCAAATTAGGTTGCATGCCTTAAAGGAACCCTTATCCTAGATATTCCTTAGTTAAGGGGTATTGGGTTCCCTGGGATGTCAGATTGAGAGATCCCTTACAGATCCCTTAAAGGAACCCTCATCCTAGATATTCCTTAATTAAGGGGTATCGGAAACCCTAATCCCCATAGATCCCTTTTAGACCCCTTTTAAAGGAACCCTATAGGTATATTCCTTAATTAAGGGGGTATTGGGTTCTCTGGGATGTCAGATCTCTGAGAGGACCCCGCTGCGAGTGCCAAGGGAGCGACTGGGCAGCAAGAAAAACTGGCGAGCCTGCGAATTGCTTACCTTTGGTTAGTAGGGAATGGAGGGTTTAAGGTTTAGGGTTTAGGATCTTATATAGGAGTCTATAATGGTTACTATAAGGGATCTATAAGGGTACTATATTATAGGGGCTTTAATAATCTTATAACTTACCTTTGGTTAGTAGGGAATGGACGAATGGGGTACAAGTATCACTGCTATTACTACCATTCGTCCATTCGCTACTAACCAAAGATAAGATTGGTAATATAGGGGCCTAAATGATTACCTAGGGGTCTATAAGGGATCTATCATAGGGTTCCTTAAAGGGATCTCTTATAGGGTTCTAATATAGGGGCCTAAATAGTTACCTATACTATTTTAGGGTTTGCTTATTATGATTATAGTATAATGGGCCCCAAAACCCTATTCAAACAGGGACTGTGAAGAGGTACTGTTAATTAGTCATGATAACCACCTTTATGTCATGTGCCTATAAGTAAGGTGCTATAGTCACAATGACATGTGCACACTGAGTATGGCCCATATAGTTATAAAGTAAGCCCTATTAAACCCTATCGAAATCCGCTTGAAACCATTCAGGCCCCTAATAATCTCTTTCTAGACCCCTTGATCTGGATCCCTTATGGAACCCTCGCAAGAAACATGAGCCTCTATACTTAAACCCATATGTATACTGAACAGCCCTACAATCGAAGCCTCGCGGACCCTGTTGTAGTGAACCCCAGAAAGTTGGAACATAGATTTAGGATAGGGGCCTTAAGAAATAGAATAGCTATAAGGGCCACTATGAGGGCGATCATAAGGATTTAGGTATGTCGTGAACGCAAGAAAGTTGGAACATCAATTTAGGGTGATTAGTGCTGGGATTCCCTCTATTTTACTTTAAGGGCATGAGGATAATGATGTTCCAACTTTCTGGCTTCTACTGTAAGGGTTCCTTTATGGGATCTTGTGAGGGTCCCTTTAAGGGTTCTTCCTTTATGGGATTCTTTATAGGTTCCTCTACAGGAACCGTCTTCCAGCTGCTACGGCCGCGATAGTACCCAACGAACCTAACATCCTATCAATCCTGTTAAAGAATAAAGAAAAGCGCATGCATCCACCAAGTGTTACTCATACTGCTGTTATATGAACAGATCAATGTTCTTACAAGCACTACTGTGATTATGCCTGCTATCATTCTTATTATGATGATTACCATTGTTAACGGACCCCTGTTTGGCACCCAGGCCAAGGAATATCTGGACAACCACGATGTCCTGCGCGTCGTGCAGGCTGGGCGGCTTCCACACTTGCAGCTTTTGAGGTATTTGGGGATCAGGGTTAGGGTTGAGGGTTTAGGGTGCAGTCGTCGTGGTGGTAGGGTTTACGGTTTAGTCGTCATGGTGGTAGGGGTTTAGGGTTTCAGCGGTCATGGTGTGGGGGTTTAGGGTTTTAGTGAACATGGTGGAGGGGTTTAGGGGATTCAGGGTCAGAGGGAGCAGCCGTTGTGTCGATGGGAAGGCATCTCATGGAGCACGACAGAGCCATGCAAAATATCAGATGACACTTCGCCATCCCCCCAGATACTCCAATATCCCCTAAGGAAGGAATATACCTTAAAAGCATAGTAGGATCCCTGATATGATTTAAGGAATATTCCGTAATTAAGGGATATTGGAGTCTCTGGGCCCTAAACCCTATAGACCCCTTAAAGGAGTCCATAGTACCCTTTAAAGGAACCTACAGAATCCCTGCCGCACGAAGCAGGCGGTGCTCCAGGCCGTGATCAAAGAGAAGCCGGACGATCCTTATCGGTTCATGGCGAAGTCTCTTTGTCATCTCAAAGTTGCTTAATCTAGGACCCAGAGTAGGCCCTTATTCCCTTTTTCTAGGGTTTAGGTTTTCTAACAACCTCCTTTAAAACAACAAGGGCACCCTTTTTATTCCTACATTACTCTTGGGTGTAGTAATGGGGACCCCTACCCTATAATTTGCTGTATAATGGGTATTTATAATAGCTATATTAAGGGTATATACCTAGGGGTCCTTAATCATCGGTTTAGGGGTTTTAAGGGATTTTTCGGATATGGGAGTGTCCGAAAATGGGGGACCCTGAAATAGTACCCTGAATAGTAGCATCCTTATTATAAGGACCCCCAAAATAAGACACCCCTAATCTTAGGGGTACTTAGAATAATTTTAATTTTTGGTTATTATAATCCTAAGAAACAGCTAAAATTATATTTTTGCTAGGGTTCTAAGTTCAGTACAGTAATCTTCGGAAACTCCCATATCTGCTGCCTGCAAGGCCCTGCCTGCAAGGCCGACTGCTTTCAGAGTGGAGTTATGATATGGAGTAGTGGCGTTGTGCAAACTTACCCTTGGTTAGTAGGGAATGGAGGAGTGGTGTACAAGTATAACTGCTATTACTACCATTCTTCCATTCGCTACTAACCAAAGCTAAGCAAAGTCAAGCTTCAGGGTTTAGGGTTTAGGGTTTAGGGTTTAGGGTTTAGGGTTTAGGGTTTAGGGTTTAGGGTTTAGGGTTTAGGGTTTAGGGTTTGGCGTCCACTCTTCGTCTCCAGGCTCTTCATGAATGGGTACATCGCCGGTGGTGCAGCGGAGGCAGGCACCAAGTCTGGTTGATCCCTCGAGCAGGGAAAGCCATGTGCCCTGTGCCCTGTTCGAGTAGTTGCTGTGAGCCTGTGTGCTACGTACTTAAAGGATCATGCGACTTAGTAGGGAGGGTAATAATAAGTGCCTTAATTGGGGCTATAAGTACTTATAAGTATAGTTACCTTGTTTATAACCCCACTTACTAAGTCCCATGATCCTTTAAGTAGCCCGAAAGTGCTGCACCTCTGGAGGAAGTGCCAAAAGCAGCACCTCGTCCTCGTTGGTTGGTGCACCTGAGATAACTTAGATTCCTCAGATGCGGTCTGCTGAAGTAAGTGTGTGTGTGTGTGTGTGTGTGTGTGTGTTTGAGGTTTACGTATATGAGCACATGCAGTGGACTGTATATCTGCGTTGCTCTACGTCTGTATCATGTGTGTTTATACATGCATACTGCGCCTGCGTATGTGAGTCTTTATGTATACACACATGCCAGCACGCGCGTGTGTGTCTGTGTGCATGTATGCACATAAGTTTGCACATATATAAATATATATATATATATATATATATGTATGTGTGTACACATACATGCATATATGCATGTTTTTTGAGTGCATTACGTCTGTACGCATGTACGTATGCATGTGTGTCTGTATTTATGTACGTATGTCTTTATGTCTGTATGTCCGTGTGTCTGTATGTCCGCATGTCCGTCTGGCTGTCCTTCTGTCCGTCTGTGTGTCCGTATGCCTGTCTGTCTGTGCGTATGTATGTACCAATGTTTCTATGTACGTAAGTATATATGTGTGTTTATGTATGTATGCATCTATCTCTGCCCTCTACCCATCTGTCCGTCTATCCGCCTATCGATCTGTCGATCTATCCGCTTATTGTTTGTCTAATTTACCTATCCTTCTTACCATCTATCTGTCTGTCGATGTTCATGTCTACGTTAGTATATACATATGTATGTATGTACATACACATACACGTGCAAATGTATGTATATGTACATATACATATGCACATACATGTACCTTCCTATCTATCTTTCCATCTACCTATCTACTTATCTATCTGTCAATAGATGTGCACATGTATATGTCTATATCTATATAAACACATATTTACATATGTGTGTGTACGGTATTTATAATATAGACACACACACACGTACATTTTCACATATTTACATATATGTTTATGTCTACACATCTGCAGACACATATATGTATATATATATATATATAATATAAATATGTGCATATACACATGTATAGACATATTTAGATACATACGCATAATTAGTTATGTAGATACACATATGTACACACATATACGTATGTACACATATACCTGTAAAATATATCTACATCTTCACATATACATATATGTACATATGTACATACATACAGACATACATACAAATATACATATGTATACGTATTTAAGTATATACATACATACATATATATATATATACTTATATACATACCTACATACATGCATACATACATACACATATACATGCATAGATATACACATATACACACATACACATATACCCATATACACATAGACATATGCATATACATCTACATCTACATATACATATACATATACATGTACATGTACATGTACATGTACATGTACATGTACATATACATATACATACACATACACATACACATACACATACACATATACATATACATATACATATACACATACACATACACATACACATACATATACATATACGTATACGTACACGTATACATGTACATATACATGCACATATACATATGCATGTATGTATACATACATATCTATATATATATATATTTATACGCTGCAGTTGCGTCCAATTGGCCACATTTTGTACACAAGATGTGCACATGTCTATGGGTTTATCTCGTACAGAGATGTGATTTTTTTCTTGTGACCAGCCCGTGAGCCAGCCGGCCAGAGACAGCCAGACACGCACCCTGATAGATGGATAGATGGATAGATAGATAGATGGATGGCAAGACACGCAGGCAGGCAGGCAGGCAGAGAGACTGCTAGACAGATAAAAAGAAAAGCAGTACAGACAGTTGGATAGACAGATAGGTAGATCGATAGACCGAGGTGGACAGGTAGACACATATGCATCTACATATACACATATCAGAGCAGCATTTACCTTATCACATATGAGGGATGATAAGCAACCCCGAGAGCATGTTTTGAGTAGATGCGTTCGTCAGTTGAGAGCAATGGAATTCCTTGCGAAACACTAAGAGTGAGAGAAAACGATAACGAAGATGTGCTACATCCTACAATCCCAAAGTCATCTAAAGTCCGGTAAAGCGATAAAAGTAAGAAAGAAAACGATATCCGAATTAAGGGTCAAGCAAAGGGGTGCTCAAATGAAATATCTCATACCTTCTTTATAACGGGTCATAAAGAACATGATACCATGTGTTTGAATTTTATATTATTCATATAACGCTGGCAAAATGTGATACCAAATAGTACAATGTAGTCCAGCAAAATGTAATGAAGTATAGTATGGTGTAGTTCTGATATAGTCTTAGAAAGTATTCAACAAAACATGTTCGAACCGTTTCAACACAACATAATGTAGCATACAGCAGCAACCTATAATATAACTTATCGGTTTAAGAAGTAGTGTGTGTATGCGTATACACCTTGTTATACTTATGTAAAAAACTTGCCAACATGCGTACATACAGACCTACCTACCTACCTGCCCAAATACCCACCTACATACATACATGAATACACCCACGCACACACATACATTCACACCTACATGCCGACATACATACACGCATACATACATACATACATACATACATGCATACACACTTACATATGGTATAATATCTTAACACATAACACTCAATCCACTATATACTATATAGTACTTGTATAAGCAGTATATGTGTATACTGAGATATACATATACATGCTTACATATGCACGCGAGTTATACTTCTTATACGGAGATATTTAGTTTTACTTAGATGTATTCAGATATATTTAGAGATACTGTGACATGCTTACACATACCTACACATACTTACACATACTTACATATACTGACATATACTTACCTATACTTACATATACTTACACATACTTACATATATTTACATATACTTACATATACGTACGTATACTCACATAAACTTACATATACTCACGTCATATACTTACATGTACTTGCAAATAATTACACATACTTACATCTACTTACATAGAGCTATATATGCTCGTATATACTCGTTTATACTCGTATATGCTTGTATATACTTGTATGTACTTGTAAATGCTTGTAAATACTTGTATATACTTGTATATTCTTGTATATTATTGTATATACATTAATGTGTGTATATATATATATATCAGGATGTATGTCACTCCTTCTCTCGTTGTGCTCGTGTGCCACAGCCCTCCCCGTTAACTTTCTCGGCATGCATGCTGTACCGAGGTTGCCGACGCCCCAGCCCCCGAGCCTGTTGCTGTGGAGAAGCCCCAGGAGCCGGCAGCAGAGGTCCCGAAGGCAGAACCAGCGCCCCCGGCAGCCGAGGAACCCGCTGCACCACCTGCAGAGGCCAAGCCTGCAGAGACAGCAGCGGAGGCGCCAAAGGCAGAACCTGTTGCAGAGGCACCGCCAACTGAGGCTCCAGCCGCTCCAGTCGCCGAGGCAAAGCCGGAGGAGCCTGCTGCCGAGGCACCCAAGGCCGAACCAGTTGCAGAGGCAAAGCCCGAAGAGCCTGTTGCGGCCGAAACACCAAAGGTTGAGGAGGCTGCACCAGCCGCCGAGAAGCCCAAGGTTGAGGAGGCTGCGGCCGAGGCACCAAAGACCGAGGAGCTTGTTGCTGCCGAAGCACCAAAGGTTGAGGAGGTTGCGGCCGAAGCACCAAAGACCGAGGAGCCTGCTGCCGCCGAGGCGCCGAAGGTTGAGGAGGTTGCGGCCGAAGCACCAAAGACCGAGGAGCCTGCTGCTGCCGAAGCACCAAAGGTTGAGGAGGTTGCACCAGCCGCCGAGGCGCCAAAGGTTGAGGAGACTGCGGCCGAGGCACCCAAGACCGAGGAGCCTGTTGCTGCCGAAGCACCAAAGGTTGAGGAGGCTGCACCAGCCGCCGAGGCGCCAAAGGTTGAGGAGGTTGCGGCCGAGGCACCAAAGGCTGAGGAGCCTGCTGCTGCCGAGGCGCCAAAGGTTGAGGAGGCTGCAGCCGAAGCAAAGACCGAGGAGCCTGCTCCCGCCGAAGCACCAAAGGTTGAGGAGCCTGCGGCCGAGGCACCAAAGACCGAGGAGCCTGCTGCTGCCGAAGCACCAAAGGTTGAGGAGCCTGCCGCAGAGGCACCAGCTAACGAGCAGCCTGCTGCAGCCGAGGCGCCAAAGGTCGAGGAGGCTGCGGCCGAGGCACCAAAGACCGAGGAGCCTGTTGCTGCCGAAGCACCAAAGGTTGAGGAGGCTGCACCAGCCGCCGAGGCGCCAAAGGTTGAGGAGGCTGCAGCAGAAGCACCAAAGACCGAGGAGTCTGCTGCTGCCGAAGCCCCAAAGGTTGAGGAGGTTGCCGCCGAAGCACCAAAGACCGAGGAGCTTGCTGCAGCCGAAGCACCGGCTGCCGCAGAGGCACCAAAGACCGAGGAGCCTGCTGCCGCCGAGGCGCCCAAGGTTGAGGAGGTTGCGGCCGAGGCACCAAAGACCGAGGAGCCTGCTGCTGCCGAAGCGCCAAAGGTTGAGGAGGTTGCGGCCGAGGCACCAAAGACCGAGGAGCCTGCTGCGGCCGAGGCGCCAAAGGTTGAGGAAACTGCGGCCGAAGCACCAAAGACCGAGGAGCCTGCTGCTGCCGAAGCACCAAAGACCGAGGAGCCTGCTGCCGCCGAGGCGCCAAAGGTTGAGGAAACTGCCGCAGAGGCACCAAAGACGGAGCCTGCTGCTGCCGAGGCACCAAAGGTTGAGGAGGCTGCGGCCGAGGCACCAAAGACCGAGGAGCCTGCTGCCGAGGCGCCCAAGGTTGAGGAAACTGCCGCCGAAGCACCAAAGACCGAGGAGCCCGCTGCGGCCGAAGCACCGAAGGCTGAGGAAGGTGCCGCTGAGGCACCGAAGGCCGAGGAGGCGGCAGCAGAAGCGCCAAAGGCTGAGGAGCCAGTTGCCGAGGCGCCAAAGGCTGAGGAAGCCGCCGCAGAGGCACCAAAGGCTGAGGAAGCAGCCGCTGAGGCACCAAAGGCCGAGGAGGCGGCAGCAGAAGCGCCAAAGGCTGAGGAGCCAGTTGCCGAGGCACCAAAGGCTGAGGAAGCCGCCGCAGAGGCACCAAAGGCTGAGGAAGCAGCCGCTGAGGCACCAAAGGCCGAGGAGGCGGCAGCAGAAGCGCCAAAGGCTGAGGAGCCAGTTGCCGAAGCGCCAAAGGCTGAGGAAGCCGCCGCAGAGGCGCCAAAGGCTGAGGAAGCAGCCGCAGAGGCACCAAAGGCCGAGGAGGCGGCAGCAGAAGCACCAAAGGCTGAGGAGCCAGTTGCCGAGGCGCCAAAGGCTGAGGAGCCAGTTGCCGAGGCGCCAAAGGCTGAGGAAGCCGCCGCAGAGGCGCCAAAGGTTGAGGAAGCCGCCGCAGAGGCACCAAAGGCTGAGGAGGCTGTTGCGGAAGCACCGAAGGTTGAGGAGGCTGCCCCAGAGGCACCAAGCAATCAAGAGCCTGCCGCGGAGGCGCCAAAAGCTGAAGAGGCTGCAGCGGAGGCACCAAAGACGGAGGAGCCTGCTGCTGCAGCAGCAGAGGCCCCAAAGACTGAGGAGGCAGCACCTGCTGCCGCAGAGGCGTGGCTTCCGAGATGGGCATTGAAATTGAATTGGTCATCATAATAAGTTCTTTGTGCAGTTTACTTGAACTTGAAGCCTTTTGCCGGAGAGTGAGAACCTGATACTGCTACTTGCAGCTGTTGCAGCGGTCGCAAGCTTCTGTTGCGCGGTTCGCATGCAGTAGGTCAGTAGGTGTTCCGTTGAAGCAACATGTTCGAGAACCAATATTTCAGCAAAAGAGTGACGTTTAAGTTTCGCAGTGTCATTTACATCCCCCAAAGCCCCCAAATCCCCTAAACCCCGAAACCCCAAAGCTCCTATCCCCAACTCCCCCTAGAACTTCTACTACTGCTACCATTACTATTACTATTACTAATACTATTACTATTACTATTACTATTACTATTACTATTACTAAACTTATTACTATTATACTATTACTTTTCGCAGTTTCATTTACTGTCAATTCTTCTTCCGGCTGCGAAGGCGTGATGACGATCGCAAGAGGAGGCCGATGCTGCACTGACGCGAGCGTTTCCTGAATTGCCATCTATATGGGGCTTAAATAATTCTTAGCGGTACTTAGAAATATTTTTAAATTTTTGGTTATCATAATCCCTAGAAGCAGCTAAAATTACATTTCTTCTAGGGTTCTAAGTTCAGTAAATAATTAACAATCCTATTTTGGGGCTTCCTTACTATACAAGTATAGTATAATGTACCCCAAAACTCTAGTCTAATCTTTAAGGTCCCTGTACTAAAAGCTCATACTACACCTTATAGTAACCCTTATAGATCTCTTATATATTAAGAACCCTTTAAAAAGAAAAACTCTATTTTAAATTGTTAATTTTCAGGACCTTCAAAAGGAAAAAACTCGATTCTAAATTTTTAATGCCCCTATAGTATACTGTAGCTAGCACCATATGGAAGGGACACGGCGACTTGCAGGCCGTGGCGTCCAGCGTATATAACCATGCAAGCCGTATAAATCCTATTTGGGAGTCTCCGAAAATTAGAGGTACCTTAGAGTTCCTTTGAAGGGTTCCTTAAAGGGATCTATAAGGGTTCTAAAGGGTTTGGGGTTCAGGGTTTCCGAAAATTAGGGGTACCTTGTTTGGGGTTCCATATAGTAAGGATCCTACTATCTATGGTTCTCTTTTAGAGTCCATAAATCCTATTTAAGCCTAAGCCTTGATCGACATGACGCCTGAAACCTTAGAAAACTCAACACGAACCCCAGAATCCCTAAGCCATAAAAGCAGCCAACCCTCGGAGGATCCGATTCGCAAGGTTGCACATGACAAAACTCTGAGCGACCGCACTTGCACCGCGATCGCACCCTTGGGAGGCGAATCACTGGGGCGCCAGTTTAGGGTTCAGGGTTTTAGGGTTTGGGTTTTAGGGTTCAGGGTTTTAGGGTTGAGGGTTTAGGGTTTTAGGGTTTAGGTTTCAGGGCAGTCTTGTAGCCTAAACCCTCAAAAGACCCTGAAGCTTTCAGAGTCCCGCTTTTCCCTCGGCCTCCCTCGGGAGATCGCAGATCTTAGGTTTACAGGACTTGGCAGCACAGACCGGCTTGGAATCCTTGAATTAAACTGTTAATCACCACGGTTGATGACAATATAAATCCTTCATTGCCTTAAGGGCCCTAAACTATGCGAATTATGGTATATTCCTTTATGGGTAATGCAGGATTTATATCATCAACCGTAGTACTTAACTCTACACGAGTATCAAATGGTTCTTCTTTGAGAGTTTTGCAGGTTTTTTTGGTTTAGGGTCCTGGAATCCCTGAATTATTCTTGACCCTAGGGGTTCCTAGAAATATTTTGTTCCTATTATCCCTAAGAAACAGCTGAACTAGAATTTTTGCTAGGGTCTAAGTTCAGGAGAGTACTTACTAGTTACAGTTATTTAACTCTATGAGAGTACCAAGACTCTCTTTTTTGAGAGTTTTGCAGGGTTTTATATGGCTTGCGGTCCTGGAAATCGTTTTTTGCAAAGGTTTCGAGGTTTTTGCGGCTTAGGGGCCAGAGAACGTTCTGATCGAGGATTCCAGGCTTCATCAGGGGTGGTGCCGCAGTGTGGAACCCCTCAGTTTCAGGGGTTGATGATTTATAGGAATTTAGCCGGTGTTTAGGGAAGTCACTCCATGCGGCATCACCTGCCGCTGCCCCGCAGATGCGGTATTTCTAGCGCCCGGCAGCAGTGCGCAGTTTAGCGTGCATCATGCCGCTGTCTCACTCCTTGCGCACATGGAATAGCTGGATGAGGTTTCTATGCCATGCATGTTTCATCATATTTCTTGTTGCAGTTCTCCTCAAGCCAATCTTACAACCCACCAAAGCCGTCTTTCTGTAGAATCCATATCAGTTCTGTATGTTACAGATTTTGTTGCAAGACCCTGCAGAAACGTAATTAGGTGATAATGCAGATTATATAGTAATTTAAGGGAAACCTCTTGGCGAAGTGAAAAGGTGCAACGATGACAGTCTATCGCTTTGTACCTATGAATCAAGGGTGAGTGTTTATGTGGTTCATAACTTAACACCCACCTGTTTAAGGACTTCGATAAGGAAGTTATAATCAGCATCCCCCGTACAAGTAGGTTTCATGGGGTGCAGGTACCGTAGGCTTTAGGGTACATGTTGGGGTTGAGGGTTTAGGTTCTGCTTCCTGGGAGTCCTGGACTCCAAAACTACAATCCGTATATATCCAAACCCTCGCAGCCCCGGCGCAAGCAATGGCTAGCAGCTTTCAGACATGATGTGGGGATCTAGTTTATAAGCGGCACCCTTTTGCCCTTTTTAGTTTAGGGCTCCCGGGTTACCATTTAGTAAGGAAAAAAGGGTACCCTTATTATCAAGGGGCTACTCAAGAACCTAGGGATTAAGCAACCTCCTCAGAGGCAATTTATGTTAGAATCTCAACCTCAATCCTTAGTAAGACCGAAGGGGTGTTATTAATCTTAATCCGCGTTCCATGGTCCCTCAAGAGGCAGTCACCTCGAACTGTAACCTAGTTTTCTGTACGGTCATATAAAACCTGATATAGGATTTTGTAGAGGTCTTACAAGAAAAGTATCTTTTGGTAGCTCAAGGATCCAAATGCATATCAGAAAGTTCTGCAGGTTTCCATATTCGGAATTGCTATTATGGTTGGCGGTAGTATCCCCTCATATAACAGAGGTGCTCAGAACCCTTCGGTAGGTCAAAATTTCTAAGATAGCTACCTCAAACTGTCTGCTCGACCAGCGTTTCACGTAATGCGATGTTTGCGCGTTGCGTGCAGCCAAATTGTTGCACGATAGCTTTTTTGCCGAAGGGGCCATCCAGGTGAAGGTATGTAACCCGAACCCTAATGCTATACTATAGGGGCCTGAATAATTAGAATAGGGTTTTGGGGCCCAGTATGCAACAGTTATAATAAGGACCCTCCAAAATAGTATAGGTAGTTATTGAGGCCCCTAGCTCTTTCGTTGGTGAACCGCTCGAGTTCATTCCTTTTTGGAGCTGGGATCTCAAGTCATAGGGGCCCTCAAAGGGATAGGAGGAGGGCGGGTAGGGTAGGAGGCCGTAATGCCCATAAAAAGTAATAGTCCCCTACCCCCATTACCCTTGAACCCTAAACCTTAAACCCTATAGATGCCTTAGAGGGACCCTTTAAAGGAACCCTATACCCTAAACCCCTAATGCCCTTGATAGCCCTAGTCGATGGTGCTCCTGCTCCCAAGAGCCGAAGACCATGTGCTGGGTATCGATGTGGCAGAAGGGAGTTTCCGAAAATCCGGCGTACCTTTAAGGCTTCTTTTTAGGGATCTATAAGGGTTCTATAAAGGGTTTAGGGTTTGGAGTTTCCGAAAATTAGGGGTACCTTATCTTCAGGTCCTTGTAATAAGGATCTTACTATTTGGGGTACTATATTAGGGTCCCCCTACTTGCTGAAACTCCCACAAGCTACGTTCCCTTACTCTTTATTGCTCTTAGGAATCATGTTTCCCCTTTGATAATATTGGGCCCTAGTTGCAAAAAGGGGCCGTTGAAATCGACACCTGGTTTGCCCTTGAGGCACTCGAGTCTCAAGTGCCGGGGCCCAGGACGACACAGAGCTTTGGGGTTCCTTTTAAAGGGTACTCTAAGGGTTCCTTTTAAGGGATGTATAGGGCTTAGGGGGTTTAGGGGTTTGAGAGTTATAAGGGTTCCTTTTAAGGGATCTATAGGGTTTAAGGGGTTTAGGGGTTTGAGAGTTTGACGGTTTAAGGGTTGAAAGGTTTAGGGGCGTAGGGCTCAGGGTTTCGGGCTACAGCAAGGCATTCCCTTGAATGTGGAAGTCTGGATTATTGGTGATATTACCTGTTTTGTCGGGGCCCTTGGTATGATTAGAGGTAGTGCATATATCCCGAAATCCCTGCTCTAGTTACTAACGCCCCTTTGTAATACCTTCATGGTTCCTTGAAGGTGTACGGTTACTGTATGTGTGATCGTACGGGTTACAATCAGGTATCCTTCTGTAAGGTCTGCAGCTTTGCGGGTTTTGGGCTTAAGGACGAAGTGTACCCTAAATGATGTAAGCAGATGGGGGTTCATTGAACACGGGTATAGATCGCGATATGTCAGGGTTATTGGGTCCGGAAGGTATACGGAGTTTAGGGTCTAGGGTTACCTTCACACCGAATAATCTTTTTAAGGACTTACTAGTACATCAAAAAATCATACTAATGAAACTTAAACAGCTAGGTTTTTTGGTGTCAGGTCCTCAGCTTTGGTATTTCCAGGGTGTATTGGGTCTGGATTACCATACTTGAAACAAGGTTTTTAAGCCCGGATAGTAGGACTTGTAATATCCCCCGAAGAAGCCCTTAAAGGCATGATGGGGTTCAAGAATGGGGCTCCCTTTCGTGGTATTATGAGATTCTGTAGTCGGGGGCTCCCTTTAAAGGTACTAAGGGGTTCTATTTTGGGCTCCCTTTCGGGGTACTCTGGGGTTCTATCATGGGGCTCCCTTTAGAGTAACTATGGGGTTCCATCATGGGGATCCCTTTACTTGGAGGCCCTTTTGACGTA